AATTCTATTTATAGATTTGTAATTTATGACAGAAATAATGTAAATTGGTCTTAATGGTCTTACTGTGCACTTTTATAATGTACAGTACCTATACATTAAATATGAATCTTGATGACTATGAAAGTTCTACTATAATTCAATAGGTACAACATTTATCTTTGTTTACTTAAAATAAAGTATACCTACGTATACATCTTGAACAATAAAATATAAAATAATCAGTTAAAGCCAATAACTGAAGGCACGTTACATAAATAAATTATATATATATATATAAATATATATTATAAAAATATTTTACTATGCAACAAATTATCAATGATCTATGGATTTTTGTATACAATCTTAACAACTTGACTGTTATGATTATTTTAAGTACTTACCACTACTGCCTTGAGAGTTATTAGGATATCTCATTGAATTTTAATTAACTGCCATAAGATTTTATTTATTTAAGACCAATTTTATTCTATAAGATTTCAAATAATAAGATCTTTAAATATGTAACACCTTGATACTAGAATTTCAATTGCAAAATTTGAATTCTTCTTACTACATTCACATTAAGAAAATAAGATATTTTAAAATAATACTTTATAATAATTTTGCGTGTAATAGATAAATAAGTTTTTTTCAAATATTATGTGAATATGTGACACTGTGGTAAAATATACTAAAATTCCAAATTGAAAATTAACCAAGTTTCCAATAGTCTTAAAATTATACTATTTACAATGCATAGGTACCACTGAAATGAGTTGAAATATAAATTTAGTTAGTAGGTACATTTATACTACTTAAAATTAGATGCCTACAAATTACTGATGAATAATTAAATAACCAGAAAATGGTTTATATTTTAAAAGTATCTTTACTTAATTCATTATTATACATACACTTGCAACATGTAGAAATTATTTTAGTAATACTTATGTACCTAGGTACAATGTCCGCGATCATAATTAGTTATTTTTTCAAGCATTTAAAATTGTAAGCTCTTGTCATTGAAGCTGAGACAGGCATAAACACAATTTAGAAATTAGATGTTGTCACATAATATTATACAGCATATAGATGACATCAATAATATTAGGTATCTTCTAGTATAGAATAATAAATATAACAGTATTATTAATATAGTATAATAATTGTGACCTATTAGTAGAGGTAGGTATAATGTAGGTACTGTATAATTTATGATATACTTTTTGTATAGGTATTGTATAATTTGCTTATGTTATAATATGGCTTATCTCGTTGAAAAGCTGACGAGTATATATGTTATACAAGGGTTATAAACGCAAGATTGGTATATTATAAGTTATATATATATAAACTCATGTGTGATGTATATCAATGTGTATTATTTTATTTTTCCATATATTATGTACATACTCAGACGAATTTTTATCTCGTTTCAAGGTCTGAGACGGCTGTCGCGCTGTCGGGCAACCATGAGCGATTACAACAATATTATATTAGTCGGGCAAAAAAATAAAATTATAATAAATGCAAACCGTATCTACACTTACTTAACAGGTGTGCCTATACATAAAATTAATGACGTTTATTAGCCGGATCTGTGTCAGTGCTAATTTTATATTTATCTATATAATATGTATGTATGTCTGTATGTGTATTATATTTGATAATATCTTCTAAGGTCTAAAGTCGATTTGAATAAGAAAAAAAATAATTTTAACACATTTTGAGTAAACGTGCGTAATTACATAATAGTATGATGCACTCAAGATCATTTCATAAAAATAATTAGTTTAGTTACAAAATCATATATTTTTTTTTAATCGATCTTAAGGTTCAGCGACAAGGGTCATTTAGTTTTATACACATTTAAAATGTTAATAACAATTCAATTACAGTTTTAACATGAATTATTTAAATATAAATCATATTTATATGCAAGCGAAAAGTTTAAATTTTCCTTAATGTCTACGGTCTACGTTGATCGAAACAGTTTAATCATATCAGCGTCGTAAGAACACTATCTTTATATATGCTTATACCATATAATACACACAGATTATACGGCTTGGAGATTTTTGTTTATCGTACAATAGGCAATAAATTACTTAATTCAAACATTGTACAGTTTTACCTTAGGGGTAACCATATTTAAATATTACGGAAATGTAGATGATTTAAAAAAAATTAATATTAGTTTTGTCATATTATGTTATAAAAACCTCGGGTTTGAACATTGATATATATATCAATGTTAAAAAATGTTAAAAAATTTATCACAATTTTTTATAAGTAATGAATATTATAAGTAATTATTTTCGTTATAAAAAAATAATATTCTTATGCGTCGATAATGCATTTTTAATATAATAATATATATCTAGTTTTAAATAAAATTATACAGAATATTATAGATGACGATTGTATGACGGTGATTGTTAACTTCCAATTAAGTGATTATGAAATCAATTAAAAGAATAATTAACACTACTTGAAACATTATTGATAGTCATAATAGTTTATTATATTATAATATTATATCAAGTAGCTAGATACAACTAAGCACCGTCCTTCGAAAAATATGTTACCAAAGGTACCTATTACTAAACGTTTTCTTTAGTTAAATTTATATATGTACATAAAAAACACATATTATATATATTATGTATAAGTTACCTATTCATAAATTAATCATGAAATGTATTATGTTTGAACAATGTGGCATCACTCGGAAATTCTTATAAATAAATACAAACACATACACATGCGCATATATTAAAATAATTACTATATAAATAGATATCTATATATAATATATTAAATAGGTAATTATAATATTTTAAGTAAGCAGTTTATCTTTTGTTCGGCTTTAATTTCATTATTAAATCGCATTGATTGAATGTTGAACATAGGTATAGTCCGTAAGTATAGGTATACGCAGGTAATATTTTTAATTTAACAACCCGTCTAATCAGTAATTAGCTAGTCGTTTATGTTTAACATAAATAAATGAGGCGGGTATAATTTTTAAATAGTTACACAATTTAATGATTTTATATAACATAGTACCTAACAAAATTAAATCGACCTTACAATTGTATAGGTACTACTACACGCGTTCATCACGTTAGCGCGTGAAAAAGTGAGGAGCATTACAATCGGCTAAGTTTTGAACTGAATAATCCAATTAAAACTCGACGATATACTTGTATTCGAATAGCATATTTAAATATTATTAATAAAATAGCGTAACAATATGATAATAACGCAATTTCCTCCCACCCTCCGCCAACGCCGAGCAATTCCACTGTTTACACGTTTTTTTTATATTTTCGTGCGCGCGTCATAAAAGTATTATGAAACAATAAATATATAATGATATAATATTACGACATTAAAAGTGGCAGCGCTCGGACCTTTCGTCATCTACCGAACACCGGAACACACTCGTGGTCGGAATCGTCGGACTTGACCGCGTGGCCCAGACATGTCATCGAGATTATTGGGTTAATAAATACGGAAAACAAATGGATAGGGACGTCGACAATGGTGATTATATTAGGTATTATAATCGCCGTAATAATGTTGTACGCAGCTATAAGTGTGAAATTTTATCTGAATACGTTCTCGAAGCTACTACAGGTTACAAGCCGAGTATGCTGAAATAACTTTCTTTCTCTGTTTCGGAGAGAGCTTTGAGTGTATACCAAGAACGCAAATGTCATACCTGCGCAATATATTACCACGTACGAGACGAAACCATCGCTTTGATATGATAATGGAAGACAACGGCATATTGAGTGCATTCGTAGATTATACGGGAAATATGTATAATCCAATTGTGATTTGTTTGATGCTAAATAACACGGTTAGGCAATAAATTATGTAAATAAATATATCTAAGTTTATAATAGTTATATATATTTATTTATGTATATTATATGAATATATATCAAACAATGTAAACTGCAAAACTAAAATAACTACTTTGAAAAAAAAAAACAAAAACAAAAAAAAAGTTAACAAAATAAAAGAAATGTATTGAAAAATATCTTATACGTTTACACTGACGTAAAATGTCTCTTAATAAATATCACTAAATATAATTTTTCCATCTTAAAAAGAATTATACAAAATAATATTTGAGCATTCGGACGTGTCTTACACAAAACCATCACCGTTCACTAAAAATTGTATCCTTCTGTCGCAAATAAAAAAAATTTAAGATCAGTTGTAAATTATACCATATATAGATTCTCTATGCATTTAACGAGTGCTAACAGTGTAATAATTAATTTACAGGCTTATAGCACATAATCATTATCAATTCTCTTTTAATTTATTTTTTTTGTTTTGCTAAATTGTCCACAAATGTACTATATGGATAACAATGTTCTTAAATTTTTTACTGCGCTCTTACATCATTCGTCCCCTCCATTAATTAAAATATTAAAATTACAAAATATAAATAAGGTACCTAAATATCATTAAATTAATTTCGGTAACCGAAAAAGAGATTATGAAGTTTACTGTCGAAGTAGAAAAACAGGTTAATTTTAAACTTAATATTAAAAGATCAGTTGTAAGACATTTCTCATTGACAACGATGATAATAGTAGCAGTAGTATTAGTAGTAATAATAATAATAATTATAATAATAGTAATGATATCGGTATACACTGTGGAAAAATGTGGTACATATAACTATAATAATATAATGATAACCAAATAAAAATTGATTTCGCGGGGTCGAGCATATTATTCTAAAACCAGCGCTACACGCATTGCGTAATATTTTTCGGTGTACAGACAATCAAAAAAACAAAAAAAAAAACCAAAAAATTAAAAACTAAGCGGTACACAACAAACAATGGTAAACGCAAACAATATATTAGAAGAGGTTAGTATATAAGAATATGATATCATAATATAATTTTTATATTATAAAAACAAGAAGTCTCAGAGCAGAAGGTAAGCAGCAGCGCACACATTTTAAAGGCATACATTTGTTTTATTTATTTATTTATTTTTTTTTTTTTTTTGTGGGTGAAGAACAATAATAAAATAGTGAAAACAGTTAAATGCGCGATTTATGACGGGCTGGAGACACAAGCAAGAACAACAACAAAAATCGATATAAATCATTCGTCGCGACGGTTGCTTAGAAATTGAATTCTACTATGCTCGAGACACTACGATGTTCTGTATAAGAATAAGTGAGAAGAGACTGCGGGCGGATTCCTCTGCTTTGTCATCCGCACAATAATTACGCATAACTGTTGAACAAAATAATTATCGTCAAACGTTAAAAAAAAATAATGTAGTGTGACATATTATCATGATAATACTAGTCCATAACTAGATAGCAAAATGGCATGACATTTCAAGTTTGTGTACGGACATAATAGATACTAAATAATATTCGTATATGTGTTTATATGTATGTGTGTGAGTATGTGTGATATATGCAGTGAATATTGATTACTGCTCAGAAATATAATTAATCCTTTTCTTCTGCTCCTGCTTCTGATTTTTCGACAATTATGAAACGGCTATGTTTCCACCCCCGCCGCCTCCGATTTCCAAGGCCTTCAGGAGTTCCGATCCCTGTAGCAGCGCTCCACCTGCCGGAGCGTTTACATCGTAGTCATGCGCTGTCAGATCCATCAGCGACGGTATGGAAGTGCTGCCCGGATCCAACAGACACGAGACGGCCTTTAGCCTGGACCGGTGCCTCGGCTGCGAACTGTCTTTCACCATAGAGTTCTTGTCGTGCATAGATTTTCCCGCGTCGTCCTAGACGGGACATAACAAGAAAACTTTAATCTCTATTGTCAGTAATAAACCACAAATAATAATCATGAGAAGGTGGGGGGGGGGTGACTTAATGTATTATTGACGTTAATATAATGTATAACACGTTAGTTTATATCCTTTATTAAGACAGCAAAGCGATAACGCGTATATTACCCGGTTTCTTCTATCCCTAAGCCTCTAAGTGTATTCTTTCTTAACAAATATATTTATGGTGAGGCGGTAACACCCCTCTTTGACATTATTAGTGTCTATGGCTAGTTCGTTTGAAATCGTTTCGCCAGCACTCAAATTTTGTTCGGAAATCGTCTTAGGAGCCAATATTAACGTAACTTTATATGATTCAATGATATTGTAACTATGCACCTGAGTAGTTAGTCTTTTTAGTGACAAACAAAATCCTGACATCGCGTCGAGTGTTTAGAAAAAATAAGGAAATTATTAGTATACAAATTCGAATATCTTTTAACGACGTAACGTCATCTATAGGACTGTCACTTTGGGTCTAATAAATCAGACAAATATAAGTGCTCGAATTTTTAAAAAATCATAAGTAGATACAGGCATAAAGTTGTAGACGCACACGGATCAATTTAATTGCTGGTTTTCATATTCAACAAAAATCCAGCACAGTCTCCGATGAAACGTTTTTTGTAATAGTTTCAATTTTTTTGAATTGACAAATAATATCGTATTATAATATCGATTGGTCACGTACGACCAAAATATATCATATTTACGCGACGACAATTATTGCTGATGTTTCAGCCATACGTCGCATTGTAACAGCGTTAATAAAATCAATAGATTTTACTCTTTTTAATTGTATAGAAAAAAATGATAAACTGTGAGCACGCTGTACTTATAAACAATAGACACCGAGTCAAAGAGGTACACGGTTTTAGCCACCACTACTATTGCTACTAAAAGGATCAACAGAGCAATAAAAACCAAAAAGTTTTGTTCTTTATTATATAGACAAAATTATTTTTAAAACAAAATAAAATATTATTAACTATATTTCATATAGGGTAAATTATATATATATAATAAACAAGTAATAATAAACAGTAAAACAATTCACATTGGCGTCAACGGTTACACCACCACATGATGGTCGCCTGACGTTTATAGGTACATAATCATAATAATATAACGAATATTATAATATCATATGGTAGAATGACTAAAAACAAAAATAATACAACCAACTAATAATCTTAGATTACAATATATATAGGTAACATATATGTATTTGTAATTTTTTTTCGTTTTTATTTTAACTAAAATTCAACAAAAGTGATGTATTATATTATATGTATTATATTGCACGTTTTGTGTATGTTAACTATACTATATTAAATAAACCTTAGCAGAAAACACATCCCGAGACTACGACAAAAATTGGGCTCGTTTTCTCTCCTCTACATCCATGACGATCAAATCGAAACGAACATGGGTGGTTTTTACCTATACATACGAAGGAGAATAAAGACGCACACTTTTTGCTCTCGCGTTTTACAATAATACATAATATACACATCAAATCTAAAGTTTGTATCTAAACCGTATCGCTTCACCGTTTAGACGGACTGGTACGGGATCTATCACGCGCACGCACACACGTCTTCTTGTACATTATTATATACAGGTAAATCGGCGGGGTAAACATCATATTATTATGATAATATTATGAAAATTGTCAAAATATTCCTCCGGGCACGACCCACATAATGTATATTATATGTTTTTGCAGTGCAATGAAATCTCCAAAATTTCTTCGGAGTCCTCCTGTTAAAAAATTTAGTACCTACACAGTACTAAGCATAAAAAGTACTAATGATTTTAAGAAAATACCATAGAAGAGGGAACATTTTAATTCCCCTTAAAAAAATGTGGGTTGTTTGCACCTATGATAATATTATATATTATATCAACACGTGCGCGCACACACGCAAGTACAATATACACGCTATCACTTTGCTGTCACGTTGCGTCGTTGCTGCTGTTCGTAAAAACGAGAATGACGCTGTTGGGACGCGACTGACGCAACCGCGGCAGCAGTAGCATTTTTTGACTTGGGCGACGTGAAACACACGTAACCAGCACTCACATCGCAACCGCTGACCAGCAGGTTCATCAGTACGCTGTTGGAGGCACCCTGTTTAGCCGTTTCCTCTTGCCGGCACCGTTTCCACGACGATGGGGCCGCAGCCGCAGTGGCATTTGGCACAGTTCGCTTGACACCGCCACTGTTGGCTCGGGCACTTCCTGCTGCAGACCCGTTACAATCCAACTGTTGCTGTTGCTGTGATTGTTGTTGCCGTAAGGGATTGTGTTGGTTGTGGCGCTGATCTGTGAAACAAAACAATATCCCGGAACAGTTAGTACAAAAACGGTCATCAGAAAGTGCGACATTCAAGCTACATTGTGTGTCATGTAGTTTTTATCTTATTCTTATAGTCCGCTGTAGTCATGGAATTATTTAATAACATAATTTTTTGGGAAATGTCTAGAATCGGACTTTAATCAATAGACACACGACGCAGCTGAAGCCAACAGAATAGTAAGTACTAAATTCCACAAAATTACGCAGCCAATGACGAAACGCTCACCTGTCACAGCTGTCGTAGGTTCGGACCCGGAAGAACCACCCGAGTTATACCGCTGGTGTAACATTTTGCTGATCGATCCCCATGAGTCACCACCATCCATATGCAAGAGGCTGCCGCCACTATCAAAGTGTTGTTGTCTGCAAGGCAGCCCGTCCGTGTCGGTCTTCTGCAGCAACTTGGCTAGGCTCGGAGACGGAGGCGCGTCTCTGTCAATAGAGTTTTTCCCAACGATATCTTCAGTCATCGGCACATGCCTAAGCGAAAAAATAAACAAAACAATTATAGGATCATGTGCCTTCAACTACCCAACACCTCTTCATTATCCCCGCATCGCTCACCAGCTGTTATTACTGCTACTGCCATCATGATGGTTGGTCACAGTCGATGACTGTTTGGGCGACGGCGACCTGTCACTGCTGCCCCAAAGCAGGTCATCCGAAAGTAGTGGATATAGGTCGTCCTCGTACAGAGGTATAAACTGATTCTTGAGTGAAAGGTCTAGATCCAAGTCATTAGGGCTGTTGTCCAGGTCCATGCCTAGCAGCGAGGACATGGCCGGGTCGCACAGGTCGGTGACAGCGTGTTGCGAAAGTTCGTCACCACCGTGGTGGAGATGATGGTGGTGTAGGTGGTGCATCGGCGGCGAAGACCGAGAAGTCGAAGAGTACGCGTCGTGCATAGACTGTGGTGCCGGCAACGAGTCGAACGGCGCCAACGAACAGTCGGTGAGTATGAGGTCGTCAAGCACGTCAGACATGAACAGGCCCAGGTGCCCGAGACCACAAGTGTCCAGTGGCACACACACATCACCGGCTGTCGGGGCTAGATGAGTCAAGTCTTCCGGTTCATCTTTGAGCACTGAAAACGACACAATAAGCGATGAAAAATTGATTAAACAAATCGAGTGTACCACATCAGAAATATTATACTTGTCAATGGAACAAATCATTATAGCAAAAGCATATGTATAGGTACAATACAACTTTTCATAACGAATATCTCTGCATAATGGACACTTTCGAATAGTAGAAAAATTTCAGTGACTGAAAGTGTCCGATAATTAGAGGTTTCGCCGCATAATATACAAATGGCAATCGATTGTAATATTACTCACTGGTCAGTCCCGTGTCGTCATCCGAAAACGTCAGGAACCCCTTGTTCATGTCTTCGGTCCGCGGGGCGAAAATCTTGGCCGTCGTGGCTTTTGGACTCTCCAAACACGATTCGGGTTTCTTCTTGATGACGCTGGCCGTAGATGTGGCCGACTGTGGTACGGTTCTTGACTTACCGTCACCATTCACGTCCAGATACACTGGCCCATTGCCTGCCGGCAACAAAAACGTGGAAGAATCTACCAAACACTTGGGCTTGAACACTTTTTCTGTGGACGACGGTCTTTTGACAGAAGTTACGGGTTCTTGGGGCTGTTGCTTTTGTTTTTGCGGTGACGATGGTTTGTCCGGGATGGCGGGCTTGCAGGTGACCGGCGATAGCTGGCACAGTGAGTAGATCTCTTCGCCGTGTTCCACGCCACTGCAAAGACGTAAATAAATTAAACCATTACAAAAAATATACTTATTTTCGGTTTTCAAATACACGCAATAATATATGTATTTCATATTTTTTTTTTATTTTTTATTTTACATTATCGGTTTACATTTTATTTTATTTCACTCTAATTGTTTTCCTTTTTTTTCCTCTCCTACTTGGCAACCGGCAGCCGACAAGAATGTGCCAATTGGGACGTTTATTTTCGATTGCCATTGCGGTAAGAAGTTCACGGTAAGAAAAGAAAAAAAGAAGCGACAGAGGTAACACGAGAGTACAATGTATATAAGATGCAAACCAAACGCTGAAACATGTACGTAGGGTACAACAAAATGTACTAAATAATATGTATGAGTGTATATGTGTATTTATATTGCGACAGTGTGTCTTGCGCATAGCCGATTTCGGTTTGAAAATTTCGGCGAAGCTTTTACAACGGAAAAGTTCAAGGCCGTTCGGTAACCTTATATTTATTCGATGATTTTGATGTATTTTTTCGTTAATAATATAAAAACCTATATGAGTGACGAAGTTTTGATTACCCTCTTACCACATATGTTAGATAAATATACGAATAATCAATATGATGATAATAAAATCATTATATTGTATTATATCAATACATATAATATCACTGCTTGTGAATCCCACATGCCTAATTATCGATTTTTGATCAAATTAACCTATGATCGTTGTATGTTTTTTATTATTACTTCACAATATTAGTAAAGGCAAGAAATATTTTTATTTATTTTAAAAACACTTTCACAGATAGTTTTTTTTTCATTTATATTCATCTACAACTAAAAAATGATATACCACTCTGAGATTCTATTCCATATATTCATTACGCGATTAATTGGCATTAAAAATAAACGATTTCATTCATACTTTATGGGAAACCATACCAAGGTTATTTATTTCGCAACAGCTATAATAAAGCTTCAATACGTTAACTAAATATTTTTTATGCCTAAATGCACATTGTAATGCATGTTTAAGACGTTTAAATTTATTAAATAATATAATAATAATAGGAATAATCTATGTTCGACTGGGTCAATGAACTGTGTTAACTGCTGACATTTACATGAATAAGAATTGCTAACACAAATTCAAACTATAAAGCTTTCGAATGACGACAATGATGACAAAATATAAGAAACAAGAAATGATTTCACTAATTAACAGAAAATAATTTTACGAGTTGAAATAGCTAAACTACCGGCTTTACAATTCGAACCACATTCCCGCATACACTACTACTCGTCGGAGCCGAGAGCCAAATACCATACATATAAATATGTACAATTGGCATATTATAACTTATTACATATGCAGAAGTAGGTAGAAAAGTAAAATTAAAATATTAAAAAATAGTATTTATGATAATAACAATTTTTACAGTACCATCTATAATGTGTTGTTATAATTATTATATATTATAGAAACGATAAATTTATACTAAATATATTATATGTCATGTTAGATGAAAATATTAAAAAAATTAATTAAACAATTATTTTATCTTCTAAATGGTTTGTTTTATTAAGCGTACTGAATACACTTAATGGAACAATGATACTGTTTTAATTATAAAGCATTGTTACGTCATGCCACGAAAATGTTTTCTTTTTATAATTATTGAGTTAGTAGATACGACCAAAACTGGTAAATTCATTGACATTATCCATAAAAAGACACAGATCGTTGCAAAAATAAAAATAAATGAAAACATATAAGAATGTGTACAGAAATTATTACGAATAACAAAATGAAAAGAATAAAATATTTGTTTGAAAAAACACTCCAACACTATAGTATAAACACGTATTATTTTAAATTTGGTGAGTGTAAAAACAAAATGTAATGAAATTAGGTATAAATGTAATAAATAATGTTTCAATTAGATTTACCTCAGAGTAAAGCTTATAAAAGTAAGATAATAATTTTAATTTAAAATAATAGTAGGTAATAAAAATTTCAATAAAATTAATTTAAACGTTTGTACTGCTAATAGGAATTTAAACTTTAGATCTATAATTAAAAACAAAAGTAAAACAAAATTAATGCTATTCGTTTTAAAAGTGTACAAGAGATCACACGAAACTTAAAAAAAATTAACTGGCAGCTAGCACGCAACTGAATAATATTATTCAAGTCTAGACTAGACCAGTCGACAGCTGTTACACAGAGTGACCACCATTACGAGCGCTCACCTACCGGCAACGAAATCGTGCAACGTATGTGTTTTGATTATCATTGTTTAGTCGAAATTTATCTTGTACAATAATAATAATTAAACATCTACGATTCACGTGTTTGGAGAGCTGATAACGCCGTTATTGTAGTGAGTGTAGTAATATTATACCTGTCAATACACGTCGTCGATAACTCATGGAGAATATTATATCATAATAATAATAATAGTATAATTGAAGTATAATTGTGTAATGCTAAAAACATTAAAAAAAAAAAAAAAAAAAAAATTGTACAATTTTTCACATAGAAAAATCCAACAACAACCGTAATTAATAGTTATACTATTAATGAAACTACCTATACGTTAGCATTAAGTAACAAAATACGCCACGATCCCGATAATCATATGTACAATATAATATAATATAATATGAACTCAAGGTATTTTAGTTTAACAACGCTCAAATTAAAAAAAAAAAGTCACTAGACGTTCACGGAGAACTCGTTACACGGAATAACATTATGTATATTTAAATGATAATTTTACCGAATGTTTGATATGCGTGTAAGTACAATATGTGTATAGTATTCATGCAATACTGTGTAGCAGGCTTTATTTTATTTTTTAGTCGTAAGGAAGATGTTGTAATTACACATGTTGATATAAACATAGACACGTTTTTGTTGCATAATGATTTAAAATAGTCACTTGGAAGAAAAAAATAGCACATCTCATTATGTAAAGCACTTTAAACAATGCCAAAATGGCAAATATATATATTTATATCGTACTAAAGTATAGGTAAATATTTAACCAAATACAGTTATTATTTTTGCCGCAAAACTTTTAGAATGAAATGATTTTTAACGATCCAACGACGAATCACGTCGACAAGTGAATCATAATTATTAATTATAATGATATTATTGTACAAAGCTATATATTGATCGAACGTTCGGTAACCGACGTCATCAAAAACTTCCATAGTTATACTATAGGCATAGTTTCTACATAGAGTCACACGGCCATAGTTACAGTAGGTATATAAATATATACAACATATGGATAGGTGGGAGACGGAAAACATATGTTATAAAAGTAAAGACAAGACAATATTACACATGCTACTGTGTTTGGCTTAAAGCATTCATCATATTTATAATGACAACGCTATGCAGTCGGTTAGAATTATTTAATTTTTTTATTGATTTTGATTATGGTTATAATATTAGCATGCCCGCCTGCTCAAGTGGAAGCATATTATGGACGTAATGAACAAATAATATGCCTTTGAATGATCAAGGTTCGTTTTTTCTTGCGAACAAAAAAAAAATATATATTGATAAAATAAATAATTATTCACGTTCGACATACCATTAATAAAAGTACCTAATCAAATATGAAAATTGGCATAACGGGACGATGACGACAATTTATGCATCACACTGTGTTATATTATATGTGTTTATATAATTGTTTTTTTCTCTATTTTTTTTTTTTTTTTTTTATAGTTACCGGTCCTAATCCAGACGCAGTCAAAGTTACGAATATGATATTTAAATGAAACCCACGGTGTTTCAAGACACACAGTGGTCTTAAAATAGCGAAGCGCGTATTTTCGTCAACAAATCCAGTTCCGAAATTATAATATTTCTACTTTATATAATCTCTCACTCTCTCTCAACGACGACGTTGGACATTATAACAGATGAGGATTGATGGCAGAAAAAATAACAATAATATTGAACAAAGATATTCTTAGCTGATCGGCTGTCCGACATTTTTTTTTTTTGAAAAGCAAAAAAAAACCTTATACAAAGAAAACAAATAAACGAAGTGCACCCCTGAATCCTGAAAAATATCTATATAGGTAGCATAATATGATGACGGTCATTCTACCCCCAATCCTTCATCTTTAAATGTAAGCAGTTATGACATAAAGGGCATTAAATAGCATATTATAAATACAGTTGTGACAATTAATACTTAAAGTCGACGAACGTTTATTCAAAGATTACCTTTTCAACACGGTTGTTCTAAAAAAATAACAAAAAAATTCGAACAAAATATATGTAACACAGATTTCGATGGTGTTTCATATTTTAGCGATGGATTTTTACAAATCACAATTTATTATTGTAATTGACGCAAAAAATGCTTTTTTATCTTTGCGTGTCTAAAACTCAACTGAATATATCTGACACGTGAATAAATTTAAACATTCGGTGACTGTGCATTAGTTTTTAAAAGAGACATCGGCTGAATTATATTATATTACCAACGACTCTGCGTTGAAATAATTACAACTTTATGAATAAACTATACACTATGTGGTTCTAGGTCGACTGGAAAAAATGGTGTTAGCTTCTCGCGTTTTTTCTTTTCGGGAATAATAGTAGTAAATAATAATAATAATAAATAATATAAAATCCTTCGGAGAGAACCCGATTTTAGTGTATTTTCGTCAAATAACACCAAACGATTTTAAATTGTAGTAAAACGTGTAATAACCAAGACTGGATCTGAACTGAGGGGTTACCTTACAGGTTTAATATGACGTTATACTACTAATAATTAATATGTACACAATGTTATTAATAAGAGTAAGTAACGCATATCTGTAGTTTTACTTTTTTTTTTCGGTTTTATAAGAACAAACTAAGATATAATAAGATATCACGAACGACAGTAAAATAATTTTCAAAACAAGACGTTCTGTACATATTATAATGTAATAACTGAAATATACGTCATAGTTTTTTATTTTATTTTTCTATTTCTT